TGGGGGGGGGGGGGCTTAGTCTCAGGCTGAAATTTTAGAGGAAACAAAAATGCTAGGTAATTACTTCTCATCTGTCCAAGCGCCTTAAAAAACAGAGTTACTCGATACATATAATAATAAAATTAACCCATTATAATTAGTCGAGATAGGGACAAACTAGCCCTATATCACAATTATACAAAAAAGTACTTCCTCCGTTTCAATTTATGTGAACCTGTTTGACTGGGCACGAAGTTTAATAAAAAATGAAGACTTTTGAAATTTGTGGTCCTAAACAAATCAAAAAAGGGGCACAGAGTATTTGTGTGGTAATAAAAGCTTGGAAAATTACCAGCTATGTCCATTTATAAGTAGCTCATTACAAAAATTGGCCAATTGATAAAATATTACTAATATTAGCCTAATTAGCCAATTAGCTATTTGTAGCAAAAAATATCAAATTTGTGCTTTGTTTTGAGTGAGTGTTATTAGAATAGATTGGGCACAACTTAAGGAGCTTGAATCTCAGTTTTGGGATGATTTGAAAATTCGAAGTAAAAGCTGAACATGAAAAAAAAATGATATGTATATCACACTGTGTATCATTTGTGTATCACATATGTATCATATTTGTATCAATTGCATATCACATGTATATCCATGTATACCTGTGTGTGTGATACATGCGTGATACATGTTTGATCCATTTGTCGCAGAAGACTTTTTTGAACTCGATTTAATTACGAATTTTGATACAAAACCAGTCCAAATCACCTCCAATCTTCCTCAAATTTTGTATATTGACTTATCTATATATTTTCAATGAATTTCAACTATACCCATTGAAAAAGTTCCTTTTTTGTTTAGATTTTTGGAATATTGTATAGATTTTTGTATTTCATCACCTTATTTGCTACCCTGTCCATGAAATTTCCTTTCCGTCTTGTATCTAATGTTGCTAATCACGCTTAAAAATATGGAAGGTGATTTTTGCATGTGATTCTTTGAGAGAAAGAACCCTATTATTTGATTTTTCAATTTTTGTTGGCTAGTTTTGGTAAGTCTATGACTAATGGCTAGAGGTTGATAAGTTGAGATTTATTTGGGACATTTGTGTAAGTTTCCCTAAAAGCTTCTCATTAAGGGTAGAATTTTAAGTTTAAGCTAAATTGTTACCAAATTTAAAAAAAAGTCATTCTTTTTGAAACGGACCAAAAAGAAAATAGATTCACGTAAACATTGAACAGAAGGAGTAATAAACTTTAGTACAGGTTAAAAAGGACAAGATGTAAGTACTTGTACCATAACTTCCGTTTGTTATCAAACTCCTAGGTTCTTTGCAACACAATTCAATGCGAAAGCGTGAACAATAAGCATCTCTCGAAAACTGTTAATATAAAATTTATAGTAGTACGTAGTATCTCACTTCGTACTTCGTACGCACATCATGAATATACTGCATGAACCTGATTAAAAAAAAAAAATTTGACACACGGACTGAGACATGGAATACTTGAAGAGTTACACGCTTGGATAAATTGCAATTTAATATCTCTGTCACATAACTAAACTAATGAAGAAAGAAAGGACAACTAATCTCTTGATTAATGTACCATCATTTTCCAAGTCCAATAGGAGATTTGAGCGGAAACAACTAGGAAAGAAATTGACAACTACTCCGTCCGTCTCATATTATTTGTCGTGTATCTCTTTTATACCCTCCTTAAAGAAATACTCCATCCGGTCCAAAATAAGTGATTTTTTGAATGTTTTCACACAGATTAAGAAATCCACCTTTTAGCATTAATTAGCAATGAAATTGACCATATTAACCTTTATTATCTCACATAAACACTCCAAATACATATTCCAACACTATTTACTCCAAGGACAATGTAGGAAAAAAATTTAATTAATTCATTCTTGAAATCTGGAAAAATCACTTATTTTGGACCACAAGAAAAGGCCAAAAGATCACTTATTTTGGACCGAAGGGAGTAATAAATATAAAGTGTTTTGATTATTTTACCCTTATTTATATCTTAAACTATAATTTCTCTTCATTTATTAATTACTCGTAATTAAGGTGTTTGTAGTCTTCAAGAACAATTAATTTTAAGGGTAGAATAGGAAAAAAATTAATTTATTCTTGAACTTCTAAAATGACAAATAATTTGAGACAACTATTTTTAAAAACCACGACAATTAATATGAGACGGAGAGAGTATATTCTAACAATAGTATACCCAATGTAGTTTTACTACATGGGGTTTGGATAAGATGGTATATATGTATACCTTACTCCTACCTTGTGAAAGTAGAGAGATTATTTCAAGCATTTATCTCGCATGTTTAAAAAGGAAAACTAAGTTGTGAAGAAGCTATGTTTAGACTAATGAAGATAGTAACTAAAAAAAAAAAAAAAAGATAGTAACTTCCTTCCTATACTTGCATAATAATTCACTTCAAAGCTCTTCTCAAGTTCATTGAATATATTGGGTATGTTATTGTATCAACAATAGAATAAGAGATGTAGCGATATATGAACGTATGAGACCCAATGCGGCCTAACCAAATGTATAGTTGTCAAACTCGACCAATTCCAAACTCGATTAGGATATATAATTAACCAAATCTTTTGTTATGACAATGATGAATAAGAAAAGGATCTCGAACATAACTCAATATGAAGTAAATAGTCAATGAGAGGCATATCTTGACTCTGGCATTAATGAAGAACGTAGTAAAATATGGTACTTGATGTGAAATTGCAAAATTTCGTGAACCATTAAGTAAAGTTAAGTTGGGCATCGCTTAAAAAAAAGTAAAAATTATGTGGGATAGCCACTTTTTAAAGTGATATTTACTTTTTATCCAGGATTTTTAATACTTAGCAATAGTAGCCACTAGTCTATTAAAATTAATATGAAAAACCTGTGTTACTTTTTCTTCTATCTCATACAATTTCCGTTTCCCTTAATTTCAAGGCATTCCCTTGAGTTCACTCAAAAGGGTCATGCTTTCCAGTAAGAACAAATAGAACAAAGGAGGAGAAAAGTTATTGCAGAAGCTTCCCAGTGTAGTTGCAGGCCATCCATTGATTTTTCTAATGCTTCTTCATTTTGACTGTTTACCTGTTTAAGGAATGAAATCAATTAATTAGATATTATTATATTTCCAGATGATTATATGGTATGGCTTACTAGCAGTTCTAATACTAAGTACTCCACCCGTCCACGCATTATTGTCTTTGCATGTGCTAATTATAGTGTTTCTCAATTACTGCGAATGTTGAAGATAGAAATGGAAGATGTTCTCGCAACTTCATGCAACGAATCTCAAGATGTTATAAGAAAGACGAGGGATTGTGAAGTTTTTGTAGGTATACATGATGAATACATGAATATGAATATACTGACGCTCAAAAGTTACAGTTAACGACAATAGGTCCTGAACTTACAACTATAAGTTCAAAAGTTAAGGACAATAGGTCCTGAAGTCCTGGGCTTAGACTAACAAGCTCAAAAGTTAAGGACAATAGGTCCCGAACTTAGGCTAAGAAGCCCAAAAGTTAAGGACAATAGGTCCCGAACTTAGACTAACAAGCTCAAATGTTAAGGACACTTGGTCCTGAACTTACAGTTACAAGTTCAAAAGTTAAGGACACTTGGTCCTGAACTTTACGAGCAGAAGGGTGTTTTAGTCCGGGCAAGTAAAGTTTATTAAAGAAGTAGCTAAAGACTAAAGATATTTTAAAGAGTTGCTTAAAAGTAAATACGCTAACCGCTGCACTTCCCCTAAAAAAAAATGGAAGACTTGAACATTATCGAAATAACTGACCTTCCACACACGCGTTAACCCTTCGCACGTGCTGCCCCTACTTGGCTTCTGTACGGATCATGCACGTGTCCTTCCCTTTCTCCTAGGCCTTAATCCAGGTGTTCTCTCTCTTTCTCCCTCTGCCACTTCCTTATATGTTCCATTTTCCTTTCATTCATGTTTGCTCAAAGCCCAAATCGTCTCGGCCCAAAACAACTCCAGCTAAACGCTGTCGTTTGTATTATTAACTCAAAACTTGTACTCCGGTAAACTTACCGGGAACATTGAATTATTATTTCCGGCGCCGAATAGTTGATGAAGTGAAGAGACTATCTCCAGCAATGGAAACGGAGGTTCATCAACCAAATTTCACCTACCTGGGACGAACATTTAGCGGTCTCAATATTACTGAATCTTCCTCAGCTTTCAGTGACTGCAACAGCGATAGATCCGGCGAGTTTCCGACGGCGTCTTCTCAAAGCCGGCGACTATTAATAGCACGCGCGTCGGAGAACTCAGATGAATTAATCCAGCAACTCGTCTCTGATCTCGAGTCAAACTCAATCGACGTGCAAAAGCAAGCGGCAATGGAGCTTAGACTCTTAGCGAAGAACAAATCGGAAAATCGTCTCAAAATCGCTCGAGCTGGAGCGATTAAGCCTTTGATTTCGCTTATCTCTTCCACTGATCTTCACCTTCAAGAGTACGGCGTTACCGCGATTCTCAATTTATCTCTCTGTGATGAAAATAAGGAGCTCATCGCAGCATCAGGAGCGATCAAACCGTTAGTTCGAGCTCTGAAAATCGGCAATTCAACCGCGAAGGAGAATTCCGCTTGCGCTCTGCTCCGTTTGTCGCAAATCGAAGAGAACAAAATCGCAATCGGACGGTCGGGTGCAATACCGCCGTTAGTGAACCTTTTAGAAGCCGGCAATTTCCGCGGGAAGAAGGACGCCTCAACTGCACTGTACTCCTTATGCTCCGTGAAGGAGAACAAGGTCAGAGCGGTACAAGCTGGAGTAATGAAGCCGTTAGTGGAATCAATGGCGGATTTCAGTTCAAACATGGTGGATAAATCGGCGTTCGTGGTGAGCGTTTTGATATCGTTGACGGAGGCGAGGGCGGCTGTGGTGGAGGAAGGTGGAATTCCGGTGTTGGTGGAGATCGTGGAGGTGGGGACAGAGCGACAGAAGGAGATTGCGGTGGCGATATTGTTGCAGCTGTGTGAGGATAGCGTGACTTACCGTACTATGGTGGCACGCGAAGGCGCTATTCCCCCATTGGTTGCTTTGTCCCAATCTGGTACAAGTCGCGCCAAACAAAAGGTGAAAAATGAAAAATATCTTTTTTCCCCGTCTATTATTGTTCAAAAATGGAGATAGAATTTTAAATCATACAAAACGGTAGTAATACTTAATAACTTTTATCACTCCAATATAAATATAATTCTAATTAAAAAAACTTATCAATATATATGTAGAATTATTGTGGAAGTAGTGAAATCCACACCTGCAGGGCTGCATATAGGGGATATAGCCTTTAATATATGGTTCGGAAGAATTCAGTACCTTATATTCAAAACCCAATTAGTAGCACTTAAAGATCAAAAGTTCAAATAAAATTAGCTACTACAGTCAAAAAGTTATAACCGCCGCCATGAAATGTGAAGTATGTAATTAATTAATGAGTTAGGCTAATTAATTAAATAGGGTTAGCACTGAGCTTAGGTGTAAAGATAGACTACGTAAGTATTATGGTGAATTTGGTGATGTGATTTGGATATGGACAACTATTTATTGTTAGGTGGATGCACTAGTCGTTCTCCAATATGTCTGCCTCCTGTGGCCTCTAGCAGGTTAGGGAAAAATACTAAGAGCTGAAGTTCAATTAAATTGGTGTCTTTGTCCTTTTCAATATGTAAATATGACAGTGTTAATAAATTATTTGAACAATTAAAATAGGTTTCTCTTCATCTTTGCGTACTTTATACTTACAATTTGTCCTTGACCCAGAAAAAAGTAAGCTGGATCGACGAGTATATAAAATATTTGAATTTGTCAGTGTTTTGAGTATTATTAAGCAGCAGTATTTGATGAGTATCTTGTGTTTTGGTCGTATTATGAATGGACAGGCGGAGACACTGATTGCACTTCTACGACAGCCAAGATCCGGTAACGCCGCTGCAGCAGCAGCAACACCAGCCAGAGCTTCTGATGTGTCGTTTTGATTCTCACCACATGTTATGTCCCTCTTTTGTTTGTTTCCTTATTTTGTATCATAGCAACCCAACACTACTCAAGAGAACTACAAAAGATGGTCAAGTAGAAGAAAAAAATGAGTCTGAAAACTGTAAATATCTCTTGTAATTCAGCAAAAGCTTTGTAAATTTTGGTTGTTTTTTGGCTGTCACTTTTGGGTTTTCTTTTTCCCTTTCTTGAGTTGCTTTCTACTTTTGGATGGGTTTAAAGGTTACTTGTACCTGGATTGTTTCTTTTTCTTTTCATATAAAGCTACCTTATTTATGAAACGTGAAAATCACAAGTACTGACACTTTGTCCCACGAATCCTTAACGGTAACAATTTGTAAAGGAAAAACAAAAACTCACCAGGAATCTCATTGGTTTTCTTTTTTTCGCAATTAAGGTATTACTACTCACTGTAGGTGAGACCCACTTATTACGTCAAAATGAGTAAAGAAATTGACATATTAGCTCTTCCTCTCTAACTTTTTATCTTCATCTTTTTTGGATGGAATTGGCCGTAAGAGAAGAAGAAAAGACAGAAGATAGGAATCTTTAATGAAAATGAAACTATGCACCTAAATGCTAGTGTTTAAAGAGAGATAAACTGTTACTAAGACAAATATTATTGTGATCAAGGAGTACAAAAATTGTAAAAGACGATTAATATGGACCGGGTGAGTTAAAATTTGAAGGTAAAACTAACTCCACGTAATATCTTATTCTGTTTCAATTGAATGAAAAGGCATTTGGGCATCATAGTTCAGCATGGCCTATAATTTCTTAAAGGAAAATGCTAACCAGGGGCGTATGCAAAACTTTTTATAAGCGATATCGATATTTAAAGACATGATCAAATGAATGAATTATTGTAACGATATCATATTAAAAAATTAAAAATACAAACTGTAATACATGAATAAAACATAATTCAAGTACATTACTATAATTCTACTCGACAAGTTTTTAATTTTTTTAATGTATTATAATAGTCTCATTAGAATTAATACTAAATACTTTTTTTATATAATGCACCAAACAATCGCTTAAAAACATGCTCAATTCTCAAAATCCCAAATTGCACCTAATGGCTAAAATAATTAGCTTTCACTTTAAAATTATTTATTGTAGCTCAAATGTAGTAAGGACATCAAGATCTACTCGTTTTGTTTCAAAACAAAATTCTAAAACTAATAACAAATATTCAACAGCTGGGAATCGAACTCCCAATCTTCCTAACAAAGTTACAGCACTAGACCAAGTGAGCAAGGATCACTTATTCTTAACTAATGTCACGTTATTTTACTTATCTGCATTTATCTTTGCATATCAGTTAGTATTCATATACTTATTAAAAATTTCTGACCAAGTGGTTTCAGATGACACCGCTTGAGTCAAGGTGCGTCCGCCCCTATTGCTAACTACATAGCAACATGGAAATGACTAATGAGCTCCAGAATTATGTGAATATATGTGTAGAAATTCTAATTAAGTAGCAACATGGAAATGATTAATGAGCTCCAGAACTATGTGAATATATGTGTAGAAATTCTAATTAAGTAGCAACATGGAAATGATTAATGAGCTCCAGAATTATGTGTTGAAACTTATATATGTAGAAATGTCTGGTGTCTATCTGGACATTGGAACGTTCAATATTCGTCATGATAGTTTTCCTGGACCCTTCTATCTCCCAACCTTTAATCCGCTGGACAGGAAAACTTAATATGTTAATTTCACTCATTTATCGGTAGTTTTGATTTACGCGTTCAGTAAATGTAAAAAATATTTTGTTGGCCTTTGATGATTGGTAAAGAAACTCAAGGTACTCAGACACGGGCAGATTCAAGCACAGGGCATGCACATTGTCACGACGCGAATTTTCCACCCTCGGGAGTTGTGATGGCGCCTACTAATGTGAGCTAGGCAAGCTAATTATTTGAACAATTTACCTTTTTACCCATTTTATAATCTTTAACAATTTCGAAGAAATATCATTTAAACAGCGGAATTTAGCATAAGCGGAAGAAAAACAATAGGCTATCTGAACATGAATACCTAATACAACTGTTTGAGTCTCGACTACCCAGAACTGGTGTCACAGTTTCACAGACGGTCTAAGAATATTACAAATAAAGGTCTGAAAGAATTAAATACAACATTGTCTCTGGAAATGCATGAAAGAAACAGGAATTGTAGATAGAAGGAGACGCCAAGGCATGCGGACGCCTGCAGGACTACCCCGGGTCGCCTGATGATCAAGAATCAGCAATCTCACTGTGGTCCGAAGTCCACAACGCTGGGGTCTGCACAAAGAGTGCAGAGTGTAGTGTCAGCACAACCGACCCCATGTGCTGGTAAGTGCCTAGCCTAACCTCGGCGAAGTAGTGACGAGGCTAGGAACAGACTACCAAATAAACCTGTGCAATTCAAATATACATAGCGGAAAGAAACACGGAAATAAACAAGTAAAGATGGGAGGGGGAGACATGCTTCGGGGAAAAACAAGTAAAAATAGAATATCAATAGAATATAAAGGAATTAAAATCCAACCACTAACAAGAATAAAGAAAAAAAAACAAAGGCAGATTTCACTTTCTATTCACATCTTGTTGCAGGCGTGCAACCCGATCCCATTTCTCATATCTTGTGGCAGGCGTGCCACCCGCTCCCATTTCATGTATTTCGTGGCAGGCGTGCCACCCGCTCAAATTTTATTATATCTTGTGGTAGGCGTACCACCCGCTCCCATTTTATTATATCTTGTGGTAGGCGTACCACCCGCTCCCATTACAACCAACAATAATCACAAGGAATCCCGGCAAGGGAACAAGAACAACATAATAGCTTCCCAGCAAGGAACATTAATATTTCAACAACATCCCGGCAAGGGAACAATGATATCTCAACAATATCCCGACAAGGGAACAATAATGTCAAACAAACATCCCGGCAAGGGAACAATGATGATAATAACATGTGAGGCATAATAAACCACAACGGAGTCATAACAAATTATAACACAAGACTCACGGGCATGCTTGACACCAACGTATAGATACTCGTCACCATGCCTATACGTCGTACTCCATAATTAACACGTAACAAATAGACACAACTCCTAATCCCTCAAGCTAAGGTTAGACCAAACACTTACCTCGATGCCACGAACACAATTCACGATTCAATTATAGCTTTACCCCTTGATTCCACCACCAATTTGCTCGTATCTAGTCACAAGTTACTTAATTACATCAATGAACGCTAAATGAATCAACCCCAATGCATGAAAATGAGTTTTCCAAAGTTTTTAGCCAAAAAGTCAAAAATCGCTCCCGGGCCCACATGGTCAAAACCCGAGGTTTGAACTAAAACCCGACTACCCATTCCCCCACGAACTCAAATATATAATTTGTTTTAAAATCGGACCTCAAATCGAGGTCCAAATCCCATTTTTTGAAAGACCTAGGTTCTACCCAAATAACCCAATTTCCCCCATGAAAATCATTGGTTTGAAGTTGAAATAATGTTAAAAGATGTTAAGGATTGAAGAAAATTAGTTAAAAACGACTTACAATTGATTTGGAGAAGAAGAGACCTTTGAAAAATCGCCTAAGTGTGTTTATGTTTTGAGAGGATATGAAAATGGGTTAAAAATTCGGCTAAGTATAAAAGTTGCAGGTCTCAGATGTGGGAATTGCGAACAGGGGTGCGAACCCCGACCTCTGCTATTATGGGAATTGCGAAACAGGGCTCGCATTTGCAAACCCTTCAGGATTTTGGGACTTTCGCATTTGCGAAACATGTGTCGCATTTGCGATACATCAGCCTTCCAGCCCTCATCACATTTGCGAGAGGCTGTCCGCAAATGCGAAGTCGCATTTGTGATGATGAAGTCGCATTTGCGACTCAGGCTGCCAGTCCACTTCTTTCGCATTTGCGATGGTTTGTCGCATTTGCGAGCCAGGCTTCGTATTTGCGAAGCCTGCAGACCTGATACACCAGCTGAGAAAATCTGCAATGTTCTAAGTCCGAAATGCACTCTGTGGCCTATCCAAAACTCACCCAAGCCCTCGGGGCTCCAAACCAAATATACACACAACCTCAAAAACATCCTACGGACTTATTCATGTAATCAAATCACCAAAATAACATCATGAACATCGAATTAAACCTCAAGATCAATGAAATTTCTCAAAACTTCTTAAACATCAAATTTTGCATTTAAGGTCCGAATCACGTCAAATGCATTTCGTTTCTTACCAAACTTTACCGACAATACATATAAATCATATTAAACCTGTACCGGGCTCCGGAACCATAATACGGGCCCGATACCTCAGGTTTCACATAACATTTCACTTTCAAAAACCTTTATATTTTTCAGAAAACAATTTCTTTCAAAAATTCATTTCTCGGGCTTGGGACCTCGGAATTCGATTCCGGGCATACGCCCAAGTTCCATATTTTCCTACGGACCCTCCGGGACCGTCAAATCATGGGTCCGGGTACGTTTATCCAAAACGTTGACCGAAGTTAAATTAATTCATTTTATAGTCAAAATTTATCATTTTTCACAGATTTTCACATATAGGCTTTCCGGCTACGCGCCCGGACTGCGCATGAAAATTGAGGTGATGCTAAAAGAGGTTTTTAAGGCCTCAGAATGCGGAATTTAATTTAAAAACAAGTGATGACCTTTTGGGTCATCACACACATGAAGGACATAAGCTTAAATGGTTATATATGATATCTCCTGAGCGAAAAGATTGCATAATTGATAAGGAGCAGGACTCTTTACTCGAAGAGAACTCTATCCTAGATAAGGGAGGAGTTAGAAGTTGAAGATAACTAGAACTCTTCCACTGTATGGGCTAAAATATGTTCATATTTAATGATCGGATGAGAAAGCGACACGTGGTACCGAAAGCAAAAGATAGTTGAACCCGAAGGCAATGATCTCGCTTATCACCGGAGAGAATGATACTTGTAACAAAAAAATTAATGCTGCCATCCGATTGCATTCAATGAAGAATATTCTACAGTGCATGATCCGTTACAGAGAGGCATTCACTGCCCGCCGTTACAAATCTTTCAATGACCCTCATAATTGTCATTAAAGAGGAGTTTAATCCGAGGACCTTGTTCTCTAGGTGCAACTATAAATAGTGACCTCTACCATCATTGTAAGGGGGACGAATTTTCTGACAAGCATACATTATATTCTATCAAAAGCTCAATAACATTTTACTTTCTTGTCCATTTGTATTGTTCTAGTTGCCATGGT